CACTGCCACTGCTGGGAACACTTTGGAGCTCTCCTGGAAGAGGCTTCCCGGGATAACTCACTATAAGATCTCCTGGGGCCCATCCAGGGGTGAGTATCCCGATCCCTGAGGATCCCCATCCCTCAGCCAGGTGTGGGATGAGCACAGAGCCCCAGGAACCCCCAAACCCCCAGGAACCCCCAAACCCCCAGGAACCCCCAAACCCAGCAGCTCAGCTCAGCCCATCCCTCTTCCCAAGCCCCAGAATGGAGCCCTGAGCCAAGTTTGGGTCTCTCCCAGCGGGATCCGTCGGACACGAGCCCGGCTGGGATTTGGGAATGCCGAGCAGTTCCCTCCCAGCAGCACAGGGGACAGCCTGGGGACCAGCCCTGCCCTCCCTGCCCGGCTCCCCAGAAGATCTGGGGGAAGAAGAAGCTGCTGGCCCCAGGATTGCTCATCATTCCCTTGGGGAAAAGTTCCTGCCCCCTGGGAAGGGGGAGAAATTCCCTCCTTGGGGACGTTGGGAGATCCCAACGGGCCTTCCCCCAACTCCCCCCTGCTGTCCCTTGGGTGTCCCTGCTCTCAGCTGGCCCTGGGGCTGGGGGATGCAGGAAACATCTGCTCTGGGACAGGACCTTTTCTCCAGGGAGCCCCACAGGGCCCGGCAAACCAGGATTCCCCTAAAAAAAAAAGGAAGATCCATCCTCAAATCTTGCCCTTCCCACCCCAAAAGGTTCATTTTTTGAAGTGCAAAAACACAAAGCAGAGAAATCTCTCCCCCCCTCCCTGGATATTCCCATTTTCCCAGTCCCTGGAAATGGAGGGTTTGGAGTGTATTCCCAAATTTCCTCCATAAATGAGTTATGAATCACTGGCTCTGCTGAGGAAGGTTCATTTTTAAGCCAAAACACAAAGCAGGGAAATCTTTCTCCTGATGTTCCCCCCTCAACAGTCCCTTTACACCTGAGGCTTTCCGGACATGTCTGTGTATTCCCAAGTTTCCTTTTCCCTCTCCCACAACTGAGTTATGAATCCCTGGTTTTGCCGAGGAAGCAAAAATGACATCGTGGGGAGTTTTTTTTTTGGCTGTTCCCAAAACAACACTGTGGGTTTTTTGTTTTTTGTTTTTTTTGGGGGGGATGTCTCCTCTCAGGTGGCTTGGAAAGCTCCCAGCTGGTTGGGGCAGAGGCAGATTCCTTCACCATCCCCAGGCTGAGGGAAGGCACCTCCTACACCATCCACGTGTCTGGAATGGTCAGAGGGCAGGAGGGACCCCCCGTGGTGCTGACAGCCCGAACCTGTGAGTGTGGGACCCCTGGATCCAAAATCCAGGAGATGATTCCATCCTCTCCTTCCATCACACGAGAGGGGGAAGGAAAACAGCAATACATTGGCTGATTATTCCTAATTCATGGAATCCCGGCGTGGTTTGGGTGGGAAGGGACCTCAAGGATCATCCCATTCCAACCAGGGAATGTTCCACTTGGCTGCTCCAACCTCATCCAGCCCGGCCTTATTCCCTCTCAGCTCCCACCAGAAAACACCCCCTGCTCCTTTCTTCCTCTTCCTGGGAAACACTGGGATTTTCCCCGTGTTCCCTTGCCAATAACTCCCACCCCCCCACACCCTGAGAGGCCATTTTTGTGGCTCATCCTCTTGGAATTCATAAAATCGTAAAATCAATGGGGTTGGAAGAGACCTCGGAGATCATCCAGTCCAAGCCTTGACCTGCCCAGGGAGGGGGTGGATTCTCCATCCCTGGAGGTGTTCAAGGACAGGCTGGATGCGGCATCAGTGCCATGATCTGGTGATCACAGCGGGGTTGGATCAAGGCTTGGACTGGATGATCTCGGAGGTCTCTTCCAACCCTGTTGATTTTGTGATTCTGTGATTCCTAAAGCTCCCCCCATTTCCAGCAGCTCCAGCTTCCCAAAAAACGCTGGAATGCCGTTGGAATTCCTTCTCCTCACCGCAGCTGAGGGGTTTGAGGAGGCAGAAAGGGCTCTCCAGAGCTCATTTTCCGGGCTAAGATGTCTTTCCTGCCACCCACCCCTCAGCCCTGGGGTGGCAGTCTTGGCTGGGACATTCCCAGCTGGAATGCTGGAGATTCTCCCTGCTCGTTGTGTTTCTACCTGGATTATTTTTTGCCCTTAATTTTATTAATTACCCCCATTTTAATTCAATTTACACCTCCCCAAGGCCTCCTTTCAGCCTGATTTCCTTCTTCTGGTGCCATCTACCCACCCCTAAATCTGGTTTCCTCCTTCCCCACCAGTGGATTTCCCCAAAATCTCCGAGTTCACAGTGCAGGAGGCCACGGCCACCACTGTCCTGCTGTCCTGGGGGGCTGTTCCTGGAGCATCCACCTACAAATTGACGTGGCAGTTGACCTCAGGTAAGGATTTTTGGAGCCCAGCTGGGCCTTCTTTTCCGCGTTTTGTGTCCCTTCATCTCAGCTCCTTCGTCTGGGGGAAAAAGAGGGAGGGAAAAACCAGGATGAGGAGGCTCAAAAAAAAAATGACCCTTTTGGCCAGAGGGAAAAAAAATCCTAGATTTCCTGGTGGGAATTTACTGATGGGCATCATCAGTTGTCTTTTCCCTTCCAGAGTCTCTGCCTGTGACCAGGGACTGTCACAGTGAACCAAACCCAACTTGTGTTTTTATCACCACAACCTGAATTTTACCTCTTCAAAATCCCCGCTCTAAAGAGCTTCGAAAACCCCCCAATTTTTATAGCCTGGATTTCCTTTTTCCAGTCGATTTGGCTTTGCAGAGTTTTATTCTCCTAAAGCACTGATTTTTTTTTTTTCCTGGAGTGGCCTAAAAACTTCTTGGGGTTCAACAAGTCGTGGTAGCCCTTCCTGCTGGGGGGGGGGTCAATACAGAACATGAACCCAACACAACCCCCCCCCTTTTTGAGTTCCCAGGCCACCACCTTGAATTAATTTTGGAATTCCAAGGCCATTTTAGTGTTGGTTTTTAGTTTTTGGTTTTTTTTAGCTCTACATTTTTTGGGGGAAGTGATTTTTGGAGCTGAGCATTCAGTTCTCTGGGGGGGGGTGATTGGAGTGGTTTAAACCCTTCCCTTCCTGTGGTCAAATCTCCATCTGTAAATAGCCCAAATTCCAGTGTTTTCTGTGTTCTCAGGAATGGACACCCCCACCCTGTGCCCTCACATCAATCCCCCTGCAACGAGTTTATAACTCTGGATTTAACTTCCTGATCAGATCGATTCATCTACCACTTTGTGCTACCACATCCAGCACAGCATCCAAATTTATGCTCCTGGGTTTAATTCCCCTTGATTAATTATCCAGGCTGGATAATTAACATGGGCATGGAAAGAAGAATTTTGTCCCCCTTTTTTTTTTCCTCTCTTCGATTCATTTTCTTCCCCGCAACTTGGATTTCTTTCTCCCTAAATTAACACTCTTTCATCACCCATCTCCCCCCCTATTTTAAGCTCATTTAATGCCCTCCCTGCTGCCCTTTATCCCATAAAAACTGGGCTCCCTTTTGCTGATTTTGGGATCATCCCAGGTGGGGACTCCTCTGTCCAGTGTCCCCAAACCCAGGGGATGTCACTGAGGCTCCATCCAGGGCTGCCCTTCCAAGGACCTTGGAGAAGTTCACCTGGATCTCTCCCTCTTCCTTGGCTCTCCTGAGCCACCTGCTCTGGTGGGAGGTGTCCTTGCTCATGGAATCCATGATCCTTAAGGTCCCTTCCCACCCAATTCCCACTGTGATTCCATGACTATTCCTGGAGCACCCCAAAACCGGGATTTTTCTGCCCCCACCTGACCAAGAGAAGCTCATTTGATGTTGTGTTTGCACCTCCAGCCTCGAAGTCTCTTGTCCCTCGTGGAACTTCATTTTCCCCCTGGAATCGTCCTCCTTTTCCAGTGGTCACAGATTTCCTCCTGCACGTCCCTTGCCAGTGTTTTTCTGGCCATCTTTCCCTGGGTATCATCCAGGCATCTCCTCCCTGAGCCCACCAGCAAAGTCTTCTTCCCATCCCAAAGGACATGTGGGATCCCTTTTCTCATCTCAATCAATTATTATTACATTTTAATCACCTGCTCAAAAGAAGGGGAGCAGCAGAATTTGGGGAGAGGCTGAAAGAGGAACTTAACTATTTTTTTAAAGCAGCAAAACCTCCCTTCCAACATTTTTTTTTTGGGGGGAGGGGGAGGGGTTAATTGAGAAGGTGGAAAGTTGGACTCGATGACCTCAGAGATCTCGTCCGACTTTGACTCTGCGGGTCCAGGAAAATGAAACAGGTTGTTTGCCCTGGTTTGATTTCTTTCCATACAAACTGAGCTTTTTATTTTTTAGTTGCTTTTTAAAAGTGAAATGTTATTTCAGAACACACACACAAAAAAGGGGCAAGTTTCACCTCGAACAGCATCGAAACTCCACTGCTTGGTATTTACAAAATCATCAGCATTTACAAAATAGGACACTTAGAAACCACCAAAACTTTGTCATGGCATTTTTCCTACTGATGTTTTAAATCAAAACTATTTATTGTGTGCCACCAAACTCCTCAAGTGAGTTTGGCTGCCAATTTACAGCAAACTTTTCCATTCACTGCCAAAAAATCGACCTTATTTTTTTTTCCCTACAAGCCGCCGCTCACCACCCAGCTCGACCCAAATCCCCTCCGTGAACCTTTGGAAAAAAAATTCCACTTTCCTTTTCCTTTGGAGTCTCCCTGGCTCTCAGTCATCAGCTCTCTTCTCTTTCCCACAGCTCCTGCTGTTTCCCAGGAGGTGCTCCCGGCAGCTTCCAGCTCGTTCCGGGTGTCAGGACTGAGCGCCGGGAGAACGTATCAATTCTCCATCAAACCCATCTTTGGGGACGTGGAGGGACCAGAGACAACTCTGCTGGGGCAAACAGGAGTGAAGGCTGCAGACCTGCACTCCACTTTCACCTGGCAAGCCGCTGGTGGGGCTGATTTCTCGCTGTTCCACCCTTCTGACTCCTCTTTTTTAGGATGTTTTAAAAGAGGGTTTTTTCAACCCCACCTTTTGTGGTTTCCTCTCCAGTGGCACCTCCTGGAGAGTCACCGAGCGCTCCTACAGGGCTGGCTATGAGGAGGACCCTCCCCACACCTCCCAGCAGCGTGGGGGTCACTCCTCTCCCAGTGGGCACCACCACAAAGCCCCCACCGAGCCCGGAGGTCCCCTCGGCCACCAGCGCCGTGTCCCCTCCACCGACCACTCCCCCCGGGCCTGGTGAGCTGTGTCCACGTGGGATTTGGGGTGGAGGGTGGAACAGTGAGCTCAGAGCCACCAGGGGCCACCATCTCTGATCCCAGGAGCCCAAACTGCTCCTCATTCCTCGAGCAGGGAGGGTGGGAAGACCCAAAATCTGTAAATCCCAAGGGCGAAGATGCCGCTTGTTTAACCACCAATGCTTGGCATCACGAGAGCTTTTGGGGTTTGCTTGGTTGCCCTGAAACCCCCCAAAAATCCCACATTTCTGCTTTGGGATCTCCCCCTTCTCACAGGGATCCTCTCTCCCCCTGCAGTCTGTGGGAAGCTCAGAGCAGACATCGCGTTCCTGGTGGACGAGTCCTCGAGTATAGGCCAGAGCAACTTCAACAAGGTGAAGGATTTCCTGTTCCGGATCGTCTCCTACTTCCCAAAGATTGGCCCTGAGGGGACACAGGCAAGACTCGGTTATTTCATTTTCCTGGAGGTGTTTTCCTTCTGGATACTCCTCCCCTTTTGCTCAGCCCTGCACAGGGAGCAGTTCTGTGCCCACAGGTTGTGGACCACAAAGTCCAAGTGCTCCAAAGACGTGTGAGATACCAAAAAGAACAGAAATTAAAATCTCTTGTTTTCCTGGAGGTGTTTTCCTTCTGGATATTCCCCTTTTGCTCAGCCCTGCACAGGGAGCAGTTCTCCCACAGTGGGTGGGAGAAAGTCCAAGCACTCTTTTTGTGTGACGCCACCAAAAAAGACAGGAATTAAAAGCTCCCAAGTGTCACCTTTCTCGCTTGGATACGTTTCCATTTCTCCATTACTTTTCCAAGAAAAGGAGATATCTTTTCCCTGTTCATCAGGAATGGGGTAAATCCCACCCCTCCTGGGTTGGGCTGTGGAGCCCAGGGGGTGTGTTGGGTGGGTATCCCCTTCTAGGACACCCATTCTGGATCCAGGTGGGGACACGGATGGGATGGAGACCAGCAGCTCCTCTTCCAAACCCTCAGGCCGTGCTGGGAAACACCCCCAGGACAACCAAAGCCTAAAAAAACCAACAAAGCCAATGGGAAGGCTCAGTAGATGATTAATTTGGGGTGATTTGTGTTTAATTAATGTGATAATTGAATCAGCCCTTGGAAAGGGAGAGTGACACGACTGCCCTCCAGCTGAGCAGGGAATGGGAACGTCTTGAACCCTTTGCTTGCAGATAGTTTTGGAGGTTTAGCTGCACGTGGAAGTTGCAAAACGACAAATAATTCTGGGGAGGTGAAGGCAATTCAGTTTGGGTGGTTGTAGGAGGAGCTGGGGAGCTCCCAGAGAACGAGGATTGAACTCTTTCTGCTCCTGTTGTGCCACAACTCCCACCCACTCGGGCCCTCAGCTCAGCAAGGACATGGAGGGGCTGGAGCAGGGACAGGGAAGAGCAACGAGGCTGGGGAAGGGAGTGGAGCACAAGTGCTGTGAGGAGAGGCTGAGGGAGCTGGGGGGGCTCAGCCTGGACAGGAGGAGGCTCAGGGGAGACTCAGCACTCTCTGCAGCTCCTGCCAGGAGGGGGGAGCCGGGGGGAGGTCGGGCTCTGCTCCAGGGAACCAGCAGGAGGACAAGAGGGCTCGGCCTGGAGCTGTGCCAGGGCAGGGGCAGGTTGGATATTGGGAAGAAATTCCTTACAGAGAGGGTAATGAGCCCTTGGAATGGGCTGCCCAGGGAGGGGGTGGATTCCCCATCCCTGGAGGTGTTTAAGGACAGGCTGGATGTGGCATCAGTGCCATGGGTTGGGTGACAGGGTGGGGTTGGATCAAGGCTTGGGCTGGATGATCTCAGAGGGCTTTTCCAACCCGGCTGATTCTGTGATTGTGTCACTGTGATTGTGTCACTGTGACTGTGTGACCGTGCCTGTCGCTGTGTGATTCTGTGCCTCTCCTGGCAGGTGGCTGTTGCCCAGTTCAGCGAGGAGCCCCGGGCAGTTTTCCACTTCCACCAGCACCGGGACCGCAACGGCGCCCTGAGGGCCATCAGAGGGCTGAGCTACAGCGGAGGCAACACCAGAACAGGTGGGTGGGGGTGACACCCCCGGCCCAGGAGGGGCTGGAGGCCAAGGGGACCTTTTCTTGGAGCCTTTGGAACCCCTTGGATCGAGTGTTTTGATCCCAGTCACTCGGCTGGAAAGTTGTGCTGGAAGATCTCTAAAATTCAAGAATGGAGGAATGAGCTGAGTTTGATTTTTCAGGGATGGGTTTTCCAACTGGTCTGGTGCCCTTTATCCACATCCCAATTTTAATACTGGGTTTTCTTCATTATTTTATAAATATTTCTTCATTAGCATATAAATATTTCCTTCATTAATAGTTTATAAATATTTCTTCATTATTATAAAAATATTTTCATTACTATATACATATTTTCATTATGGTATGAATATTTCATCATGATTTTATAAATATTTTCATTACTATATAAATATTTCTTCATGATTTTATAAAGATTGCACTATTATGTATTTATTCACTATTATAGTTCTTCATTATTATATAACTATAGTTCTTCATTATTATATAAATAGTTCTTATATTATTTATATTATTATTCTATATTCTATAATATATTCTATAATTATATAGAATATATATTATTATATATTATACCATATATAATATTATACCATATATAATATTATACCATATATAATATATATACAATATAAATTATTATATATTATATAGAATATATATATATAATGATATATATCTATAATTCCTGCAGAACCTTCTAATCCTTCTTTTTTTTCTGGAAGTCCTGTCAACAGAGATGTTTTCCCTCCCTCACAGAAATCTTCCCGTCCTGTTTTGGGGCTTTTTTTAACCCTTTCAGTCCGTGGGAAAGTCCTTTGGGAGACTTCCCAGCTCCTTCTGCAGACGTTCGGAACTGGGAATTCCGCGGATTCCTTTTTCCCCCCCCCCAAATCTCAAGACAAAAAGCTTCAAATCCTAATAATTTTTTTTTTATTTCCCCCCAAAAATGATAAGAAAAATGCTCCAAACAATTAATTTTCCCCAATCCAAAAGCACCTTTAGGTTCGGCCTCACCCGTTCCCAGCCTGGTTGACATCCTGGTGTCATCCACGGGTGACACCACCGGGAATTCCTTCCCTGCCTTCTCCCCCCGTGCAAGGGGGACCCCCAGAACCAAGAGAGAATCTTTGCCAACCTCTCCCCTGTGGGTTTTTTTTTTTTATCCCCCCCCCAGGTCGGGCCATCTCCTTCGTGCTGAAGGAGCTTTTCCAGCCCTCCAGAGGGATGAGGCCCCATCTCCCTCGGCTGCTGCTGCTGCTGACGGATGGACCCTCCCAGGACGACGTGGGGCCACCAGCCAGGGCAGCCCATGCTTTGGGTGAGCTTTTCCCTCATTTCCCAGTGTTCTCCATGGATTTCCAGGGGGTTGGAACATCCAGGGTTCCCCCTGGACACTCCATGTGAGGAGAACTCGATGCCCTAAACTGGGAGCAAAAATTCTCAGGGTTGTTTTGGAGTATTTAAAGGCAAAACTCCCTTCTTAATTTTGCACTCAGGCCCTTTAGAACTTTATCCTCTCATCTGATTACAATATTCAATTCTAATTGTGGTATTTGGGCATTTCCTTATGTGTTCCATCCACTTCCAAACCCATCCCTCCCACAGCACCGCCCTGACACACCTCCCCACTTGGAGTGGGAGCTCCCAAAAATCCCCTCCCTTCATCTCCCCTTCCTCTTCCTCATCTACTCTGACCCCTCCTACCACATTTTCCAGGCTCCTGAGCATCTCTGACCCCTTCTATCCAGCGTTTTGTCTCCCTCTCAGCACCTTCTGACAGATGTCAAACCCTCCATCCCGACCCCTTTGCCTGTCCAACTTCTTAACGACCAACATTAAACACCCCCTTTGGAAACCTCACCCCAAGGCACCAACAAGCTGTGCTAAAACTTAGCTAATAAATAGATTTTAAGGTTGGTTGGTTTGTTTTTTTTTTCTCTCCTTTATCCTTTTTTTTTTTGGTTTTTCTTCAAGTCGCACCCTTCAGGTGAGTTGTTGCTGTGCCAGGGGAGGTTTAGGTTGGATATTGGGAAGAAATTCCTTACAGAGAGGGTGCTCAGCCATTGGAATGGGCTGCCCAGGGAGGGGGTGGATTCTCCATCCCTGGAGGTGTTTAAGGACAGGCTGGATGTGGCATCAGTGCCATGATCTGGTTGGATCAAGGATGATCTCGGAGGTCTCTCCCAACCCAGTTAATCCTTTGACTCCCTGATTAAAAGCTTGGAAACTCTGACTTTAGGCATTTTCCTGCCTCTGCTGAGCGAGGGGTGTGTTGCAGGGATCCCCATCCTGTCAGTGGGGGTGTCTGGGGCTGACCCCCTGCAGCTCAGCAGGATCTCCCCACGGCAGAACCTCCAGTTCTACGTCAGCACCTTCGAGGACCTTCCCCAGCTCCTGCAGGAGCTCATCGAGGCCCTTTGCTCTGCCCCTGCCCAGGTGAGACCTCCCCTACCTGTTCCTGGTGGTGGAAACCACCCCACCCTGGCCTGGGATGGACACAAGGGTTGATGTTTCTTCTTCCCCTTCCCCCCACAAGCAGATTTTTCCAAGTGAAAATCAGGATTTAGGACCCTGGGGCCCAATCCTGACCTCACTGCCCAACCCCAGGGGAGGGGGGGGAAACCTTTGGAATGTGGGAATTAGGGAAGCTGAACCCTTGGGTGGGTTACCAAGTCGTTGCCCTCTTCCAAGCCCAGCTGTTGGGTCAGTGGGGTATTTTATAGGATCACAGCGTGGTTTGGGTTGGGAGGGACCTCAAAGATCACCCCCAACCCCCTTGCCCTGGGCAGGGACACCTTCCTGATTGCAGAGAATTGTCCTTAGTGCCTGCTGGGCCAGGGGGAGGAAGGAGGGTGATATTTAAACCTGCTGATGGGTGGTGTTTGACCCCCAATCCGAGCCAAACTCCGCCCCTGCAGGTTGCCAAAAACGAGGCCACCCAGCCCTTTGGCGACACAGAGATGGAGCCACAAGGCCCTGATCCATCCCCAGCCCAACCACAGGTCCAAGAAGAACAGAAGCCTTGTGGTCCCTGGTGTTCCAAGGTGAGATTTAATTGTCAGGGGGGTGATAATTCCAACAAAAATAAGACTTTAAAAGAGTCTGAGGATACGAAAAGATCTCCTGGTTGGTCGAGTTGGCTTCTTTTGTTGCACAGGCCAAGGAGGGGTTTAATCTGTGGCTTAATCTGTGTTTGGTGTCTGGTTTGAGTTTATTTGGCATCTTTTGGTGGATTTGATTTCCTGATGGTTGTTTTCCCCCCCCCCCCCGTTTTTCCTTTTCCTTGGAAGAGCTCTGGGACTTCAGCAGCTCCCAGAGGGTGGGACCCAAACAGCTCCCCCACCAAGGGTGAGAAAGGCGAGAGGGTGAGTCCAGCAGCACCACCCACCCCTTGGAGCAGGAATATCATGGAATGGTTTGGGTGGGACGGGATCAGCCAGGTCCAACCCCGACACCTCCCACTGTCCCAGGTGGCTCCAACCCAGCCTTGGATACTCCCAGGGATCCAGGGGCAGCCACAGCTTCTCTGGGAAATCCAGTCCAGCCCCTCCCCACCCTCCCAGCCAGCAATTCCATCCCCAAATCCCATCCACAACTAAATTCCTGGCCTGCAGGAAGAGCTCCAGCAAAGAATCCCCTCCAGATCCTCCAGGTCTGGCGTTGGGCGGCTCCGAAGATCAGGCGGGAGGGACCAAAACCATTTACGTGCCGGAATTTTTGGGGGTGCTCCCGACCAGCTGAGGCTGCAGGAAAGGGTTTGGAAGCCCTGGGGGCTGTGACCTGCACCCTGTTTCCTTTCCATGCATTTAGGGGCTCCCTGGGAAGGATGGAATTCCGGGGCTGCCGGGCCGGCCAGGCCGGGCGGGTCCTCCTGGTCCTCCTGGACTCACGGTGGGTGTTTTGTTTGTCCCACTTGGAATTTTGGGGGGGTGGGGGGGGTCAGTGTGGCCCTCAAACACCTCCCTCTCCTGTTTTCCAGGGTCTCCCTGGCATCCAAGGGGATGTTGTGAGTATTTGGAACCGTGGGAGCATGGAATGGTTTGGGTGGGAAGGGACCTTCAGGATCAGTAAATTCCAACCCCAGGGACACCTCCCACTGTCCCAGATTGATCCAACCTGGCCTTGGACACTCCCAGGGATCCAGGAGCATCTGTGGTCTCGTGTCTCATTTCCTGTTTCACGCTGCACAATTTACTTTTAATTCCAGGGACCTCCCGGCTCTCCAGGACCAGCAGGGCCAAAAGGAGACAGAGTGAGTTCCATTCTCAGGGTTCTCTGGGGGAAAGAAAAAAAAAAGCTGTTTCCAAGCTCTGCTCCCTTTTTTTTCCCCAATAATTTTCACAGTGACCTTTGGCAAACTGAGCTTCTGAGCTGGGTCCAACTTTTCCAGTCTTCACCGGGGGGAGTTGTCCCTCAGTTTTCCAAGGGGGAATAATCTGCTGTGTTCCTGGAGAGATCACAGGACTTGGCACATTTAATTGGTTATTCCCAGAAGGAGGGAGAACTTGGATGGGTCCTTTTTCCTGCCTGAGTGTTGGGAACCAACTTGTTGTCCTGCGTTCTGGCCATGGAAACGTTTCCACATCAGTTGTGGGCAATCCCAGGAGCTTCTTATCCTTTTCCCTGCATCCCAGTGCACATTCCTGCTCCTTCCCTGCCTCCCTCCCCTGTGGCTGAAGCCCAGGAGTGGATCCTGCTGAAATCCATCCCCTGGGATTTGAGTTTTCTTCTGAGCCAATCTCGAGTCTCGGCCCCTCCTCTGCAAAAGGAGGCGGTTTGGGATGAACTTTCCTTCCCCCTGCTGATGGAACTGCCCCTAAATCCTGCCATTTCTTGCTCTTCCTGGTGTTTCTTCCCACAGGGAGAGCCAGGATATGTCCTGGGAGGAGTGGAGGTGATTCCTGGCCGGAATGGGCAGCCTGGCCCTGCTGTGAGTGTCACCCTCGAGGGCTGGAGGAGAAGCAGCAAAGGGAGCTGGGAAAGATCCCAACCCCCCCCTCCCTTCTCCTGCTTTTTCCTGGTTTTCCAGGGCCCCAAAGGGCAGCCAGGGGTTCCTGGGGCAGCAGGACCACCGGGATCGCCGGGACCACCGGGAATCTCCATCAAGGTGAGATTGTTGTGGCTCCAAGAAAGGGGAGACCTGGCACCACATCCTGCAGGTTGAGGAGAGGTCTGGACACCTCAGGGGGTGGGAATTTCGGTCTTGTCAGGCTTTAGGAGATGCTTTTTTTTTTTTTGTGGGATGAAGTTGGGAGAGGAACTCTCTTGAGGTGCCCATCCCGTGGTAAAGGTTCCTCGTTGTCCTTGGTGTTCCAGGGGGAACCAGGGGATCCAGGCACCAGGGTGAGTCCTTTGGGATGCAAAGCCCTCTCTTCACCACCATTTCCCAGCTGCCCGAGGGGCTCTGCTTTCCCAAACTTCCCCAAAATCCGTGGAGTGAGGTCGTGCTGTGCTCCCTGCAGGGCCCTCGTGGGAGGAGCGGCCTCAAGGGGGACAGAGGAGCTCCAGGAGAGCCGGTGAGTGGCCCTGGGGAGGAGCCACCAGCCGTGGTGGGAAGGGTTTGGTGGCCTTGGAATGTCCCTTGGAATGTGGGGTGGGATTAGGGGGACGGTGCCCTGCTCTTCCTCGTGGAATGTGACCCTTCTCCTTCCCAAATCCCACCTGCCCTGGGGTCAGGAGGTCAGAGAAATCCTGGGGAAGTTCAGAGGAGGGAGAAAAGGTGGATGAGGAGGGTGGGACAGCAAACCAGGCAGCAGATTTCACAAAATCCCAGGATATTCTGAGTTGGATCCACAGGGATCAATCACCCAGAGCGAGGGAGGTGGTTCTTCCCAGGAGAAGTTCCACAGGGAAGTTTGGGGTGTGGGAAGATGGGGTTGAAGGGGGGATAAGAGAATTTCAGAGGTTCCAGGAGGACCACCGGGAATGAAAGGAAATTTGGGAAATGCCTGGATTACAAAGGGCTCAGAGCTGAGGGATTGTGAGGGATCATGTCCACGTGCTGTTCCTGCCCATGGTGATCCATATTCCCTCCCTTTGCCATATTGTGGAATTGTATCCCATAAATCAGCCACTTCCAAGTGTCTGCCTTCACCATTCCAGGTGGATTCTCATCCCGTCCAAGTGAACAGCTCCTTATTTTCCCTTCCTCAGCAAAGCCAGTGATTCATAACTCATTTATGGAGGAAATTTGGGAATACACTCCAAACCCTCCATTTCCAGGGACTGGGAAAGTGGGAATATCCGGGGCGAGGGGGGGAGGGGGGAGAGATTTCTCTGCTTTTTGCACTTAAAAACGAACCTTTTGGGGTGGGAAGGGCAAGATTTGAGGATGGATCTTCCTTTTTTTTTTTTTTTAGGGGAATCCTGGTTTGCCGGGCCCTGTGGGGCTCCCTGGAGAACAGGTCCTGTCCCAGAGCAGATGTTTCCTGCATCCCCCAGCCCCAGGGCCAGCTGAGAGCAGGGACACCCAGGGGACAGCAGGGGGGAGTTGGGGGAAGGCCCGTTGGGATCTCCCAACGTCCCCAAGGAGGGAATTTCTCCCCCTTGCCGGGGGGCAGGAACTTTTCCCCAAGGGAATGATGAGCAATCCTGGGGCCAGCAGCTTCTTCTTCCCCCAGATCTTCTGGGGAGCCGGGCAGGGAGGGCAGGGCTGGTCCCCAGGCTGTCCCCTGTGCTGCTGGGAGGGAACTGCTCGGCATTCCCAAATCCCAGCCGGGCTCGTGTCCGACGGATCCCGCTGGGAGAGACCCAAACTTGGCTCAGGGCTCCGTTCTGGGGCTTGGGAAGAGGGATGGGCTGAGCTGAGCTGCTGGGTTTGGGGGTTCCTGGGGGTTTGGGGGTTCCTGGGGGTTTGGGGGTTCCTGGGGGTTTGGGGGTTCCTGGGGCTCTGTGCTCATCCCACACCTGGCTGAGGGATGGGGATCCTCAGGGATCGGGATACTCACCCCTGGATGGGCCCCAGGAGATCTTATAGTGAGTTATCCCAGGAAGCCTCTTCCAGGAGAGCTCCAAAGTGTT